CAACCCGAGGACTCTTCCGTCATGTTTGATGGTGAGATACCCTTTATTGATCCAGTATTGTTTGCCAACATTGATGAAGCAGCCATATCGAAGGCAGCATTGAGAACGCATGGTGCTGCTGGTCCTTCTGGTCTTGATGCACTTGGCTGGCGGCATATTTTAGTGTCTCGCAATTATGGGGACGCTGGAAGAGATCTACGATCCGCGATTGCGTTAATGGCGAGAACACTTGCAACACGGAAGGTTGATATTGAACCAGATCAGACCACAAGTTTGGAGGCGTTTTTGGCGTGTCGCCTAATACCACTGGATAAGAACCCAGGTGTTCGTCCCATCGGAATTGGTGAAGTGCTTCGTAGGATCATCGGGAAGTCAATTATCTTTGCAATCAAGCCTCAAATCATGGAAAGTGCAGGTGATGTTCAGCTTTGTGCTGGACAACCAGCTGGCTGTGAGGCGGCAGTTCATGCCATGTCAGAAATCTTTGCAGAAGATGAAACGGATGCTGTGTTATTGGTGGATGCCACAAACGCATTCAACTCAATTAATCGGAGAATCATGTTGCACAACATTCAGTACATTTGTCCTGCCATGGCAATTTACACCTTCAACTGTTATGTCACAGCATCAAGATTGTTTGTCCAAGGAGGGAAAGAAATTACTTCTGCAGAAGGTACCACACAGGGTGATCCATTAGCCATGCCGCTGTATGCTGTTGCCATTACACCCTTGCTGCAGTTGATTAAATCTGATGAAGCTAGCGATGTTCGACATGTTGCCTTTGCTGATGACCTTAGTGGTGCTGGTACACTTGCTCATTTGCGTTCCTGGTGGAAGAACATTGTTATTTATGGTCCCCGTCTTGGTTACTATCCGCGTGCTGACAAATCCTGGCTGATTGTGAAGCCGCACCTGGAGCAGACCGCCAAAGAGATGTTCGCTGGAACTGGTGTTCGTTTAACAACTGAAGGACATAAGTACCTTGGAGGATATCTTGGCTCTGAAGATGGGAAAGATAAGTACATCTCGTCTTTAGTTAGTAAATGGTGTCAGCAAATCCACGTTTTAAGTGAAATTGCTAAATTTGAGCCCCAAGCTGCATATGCTGCATTTGTATCAGGGTTTCGGCACAGATTTACTTACCATATACGCACTGTTCCAGGTATCAAGACTGCGATGCGAGTGGTAGATGATTCCGTCAGCCTGAAGCTCCTGCCAGCGCTCCTAGACAACCGTAGTGTTTCCATCCATGAGAGGAAGTTACTGTCACTGCCGACGAGAATGGGGGGTCTTGGAATACCTATCTTCTCCGACCTGTGCGATGAAGAAAATAGAACTCAAAGACCATCTGTCAAAATCTCTCAAGCAAGATCGTCCATCAGAATGATGACGCTCCAGCAAATGAAACTGGATCATCCATCTACGATTTGCGCCGTGAGATAATTAATCATCGACATGCCCAAAACAAGCTAGTGTTGCAGAACTTGAGATCAAGTATGAGTGAAGAGCAAATTCGAGCAATGATCTGCCCAGTTGAAGGGATCCTCAGCTTGGTTGACAGCACTGCCACTTGCTAATGAAGGGTATGTCCTCACGAAACGAGAGTTCTTTGACGCAATCTTATGCGTTATCGGTGGCCATTGAAGCGCCTTCCATCCTTCTGCGCTTGTGGAAAATCTTTCACCGTGGACCATGCCTTGTCGTGCCTGAAAGGAGGTTTTATTCATCGACGACATGACGAAATCCGTGACCTTCTCGCTTCTGCCATAGACGACGTGGCCTATGACGTTTCTACTGAACCTGCTCTTGCTCCTTTAACTGGCGAAGTACTTCCATCCAGTGCTAATTCCGCCGACGACGCCAGAGTGGACATAGCTGCGAGAGGTTTCTGGCAGAGATGTGAAAAAGCATTTTTTGATGTCAGGGTGTTTAATCCTTATGCTTCGACACATCGACGCCAGACTCTTACCAGCTCGTTTAACGCCAACGAACGTGAGAAGAAACGTCATTATAATCAAAGAATTGTTGAAGTTGAACATGGCTCCTTCACCCCTGTCGTTTTTAGTGCCTATGGTGGATGTGGAAGGGAGACTTCTCACTTCCTCTCGTTCCTAGCAGGCAAACTGGCTGAGAAAAAGAACTTTAGTTCCTCCATCGTTCTCAACTGGTTACGTAAGAAGATAGCTTTTGCTCTTCTTCGCGCTAGGGTTGTGTGTGTTCGTGGTAGTCGTTCCTGGAGAACTTTAAACATTCCTTCAACTACAGATATCTCGTTGTCGGAATGGAACTCTAATATTAGATAAAGTAGTTTTCTCTAGTTTATATTTATATTAAGTTTATATGCGTAATTTTATATTTTTCCTCTTGTATTGTGCATGCATTATAAAAAGTATATGATATCGATTTATTATGTATTTATAGTAATGTTCGAATAAATTTTATTATTAATTTCCCCATTTTGTTATCAATATTACTGAGAGCAATGTTCATATTTGTCTCGGTATTTTCCCTTGAACGCTCGTCCAAAGAATTCTCAATATCGGCCGGCGTGTTTATGGATGAATGACTTTGCTCATCCATATTAATACCAAGGAAATTCCTAAAATGCAAAATATTTAGAACATATGATACTTACGTATTATTTCGTCGTTCTCCAAACGGAAATTTGCAGATATTTACCTGGATGGTTCAGAAATTATAGGATTTATGTCAAGAACTCACTTAGTTGAAATAGACTTTTCAGCGAAGCACGAAGCACTGATCGGTAATGCGCATGCGCATCTCATGTGGCTCCGTAGTGACCTAGACTGATGACAGGATAGAATTTATGATATCAAGAAAAATCTCATTTCCGCACACTAATAAGACAGACGGAATATTTATGGAAATTCTAAAATTAAGTTCTGGTGAGTTTGTCATATGGCTGGTAGCAAGTCAGAAACGTTAGTCCTAAAACATATGTCTCTTCACAAAATTATTTTCACCAGAAATCCCTTCGTTTAACAAGATCCTTGCGGCTTGTCGGTGTAGCCTATATAATTAATACAACCATTTTATTACAGTAATTTACTCTGTCCTACGCCATGGCTTCTGTCGATCTGCAAGAAAAAGCAAATTTTGCAAGACTCAGCAGACTTTTAGTTGACAAAGGAACTGAGGCTTTGAGAAATACATTTGATACCATCCATCCACCTGTTAGTCTACCTGGAGTACTGGCTGCAAAAAAAACATCTCTTCAAAAGTTAAAACCTCGAGTTATTAATAATTCCCTGTGGGATTTACTGTTTCCTCCGTCTGGCAACCCACCAGATTCGAAAACCTTTGATGTCACATTACTTACAGTTCTATTCCGAAACATTTGTGGTTTTCCATCAAAAACAATATGGGATGTGATGCCTCCGGATTGGGATAGATCAACGCAAGCGAATATCACAAGAATCAAGTTATACAGAAATGAAGTTTATGCACATGTAACAACAACTCGAGTTGACAATTCAACATTTGAGTCTTTATGGAAGAAAATTGCGCAGTGTGTCGTAGAATTGGGCGTTTCACAGAGTGATGTCGACGAAATAAAAGCTTCATCCTTCGCGCCTGAGGATGAAAATTATGTCGAAATCCTGAAACAGTTGAGAAGTATTGAATGCATTTTAGATCATCTGACCCGAGCTTTGGAGGAAAATCACCGAGAAAGTGATGAAGATATCCTGCGAAAACTTGCAAAGCATAATTTTAAAAATAAAATTAAAAGAAAAATGAAATTTTTCCTACCTGGAACGAGAGAGTGGTTGTTAAAAGAAGTTGACGAGTGGTTTTGTAGCAGTGAGAGTGACTCAAGAATAAAGTTAATAACAGCTGGACCAGGATTTGGTAAAAGCGTGTTTGCCGCTAAAGTCTGTGAAGAGTTTGAGAAGAATGGGAAGCTGGCTGCTTGTCACTTTTGTGATTTCAGCAATTCAAACCTAAGAGATCCTATGGTGATGTTGGAGTCTCTCGCAAGTCAGATGTGTACGAGCGTCCCTGGTTTTCAAGAGGTGCTCCTTGATCAGTTAGGACGACGTCATCAAGTCCAAAACCTGAGAGATGCCTTCCAAATATATTTGCAAAATCCCTTAGATGAATTGGTAATAAAAGAGCCGCGTTTAGTCGTGATCGATGGCTTGGATGAAAGTGCTGCAGATAATAAGAATGAAATTACGCATTTGATTGCTGAATATTTTCCTGATCTTCCCGAGTACATCAAAATCTTGGTGACGAGCAGGCCAGAGATTTCCGTTACTGATCTAACACTAAGAGACGATCAAAAGACAGACATTTCCAATGTTCATGACAACAATAACTTAGATCTTGAACTTTATTTTAAAGAATGTTTCCCAAGTTTAGTCGGCAGGGAAGTGGATGAAAGTGAAGTGAGCCGTGATTTGTATGAGTATCCATATCTTTACCGCTTAATATGGTATAACTCAATTAGTTTACTTTCTATTTTTGTTGCTAAATGCCAGGGCTCATTTCTCTATGCATATCACTTTCAATCTGGGCTAAGGGCTCGCCATGATCTTGAGAAGATAACAAATAATGACGTTATGGAGTTTCTTCCTGATGGGCTGAATTCTATTTACCAAGGATATTTCACTCGCCTTGAAGACGAAATTAACGCCATAAAACATGAAAAGTTCGATGTGTTGAAAATTTTAGAAATGCTGGCTGCTTCCGAAGGACCTCTTCCCCTCACTTTCGTCGCTCAGGCTTTTGGTTTAGCTCCAGATTGTCGCGAAACGAAAGACATCATCAACAAAATTAATGAAACCGTATCGTGCTTGTTGTACGTTTCAGATGACATGTTAACCGTTTTTCACAAATCCGTTATTGATTGGCTTCAAGCAAAGGGGTACAAAGATCACCAGTATACTGTCAAGGTCGATGATGGACATGGATTGCTTTGGCTTTTATGCGAAAAGGGTTTTCAGGAAATTGTGGAAAATGTTCGCTCAGGACTTGAGGTGAAGTTTACTAATGACGTGGAATACGCTCTGAAACATGGTTTAAAACATCTAGAAAAGTGTGAAATGGAGGAAGGTGTCTTTTGGTCAGTTGATGTTATTATCGTATGTTATATGTTAACTGTAAACGATTCAGATGTATTGCTGCGTTTCTGGCTCACAATACTGCAATGTTCCTGGATTAAAAAGGAAGATTTACGCGCCTGCATTTCGTACCATGTCAGTGAATTTGGGCCTTTGGAAAGTGCCCTGGAATTCGTAATAGAACATTACGAGTATTCAAAACAATTTCTTTCGACAGTAGTTTCACAATCGTATTTACAAGGGGTTCTTACACATTCTCCAGAAGGTTATTTTAGCGTTGATGAGAAGAAAATCGCGGAGACGCTACTATCAAACGTTTCACCTTTTGTCGAGTCGAATTCTTACGAAGTTTTGGTTTTGCCGCGAGCAGTCTGGAAACACAGTGACTTTGGTCTTATTACAGCTGTTGCTTTATCTAACGATGCGAAAAGGGTAGCAGTTGTAATAGAGAATTTTATCCATGTGTTATCCCTACCAACTTTAGTTGAAATTATGAATTATTCAACAAAATTGAAAAGAATTTCATGCTGCACATTTTCTCCAGACGATTCGCTCATATTATTTGGTAAACTGGAAACGGCGTTTAACATTGCTGGAAGAAAGGAAGTTCCATTTTTCCCTGGAAATGAAGAGACGTTCGAGACCTGTGCATTTTCCCGTAACGGGAAAAGACTGGTGACTAGCGACGGTTCAAATACCATTAAACTATGGGACGTTGCTAAACAAAAAATGCTGTCGTCGCTTTGTGCTGGATTTCCTGTTCGTTGGTGTTCTTTTAGCGTCACAGGGTTATTTATTATTGGAAATTCGGATTCTCTATCTGATCCGGGTTATTCGTTGTGTGTTTGGAACGCCATCACATTGCAAAGAAGTGATAAGCGAAAATTATCTCAGGGGGAAAGGGAGAAACCAGATGTGTTAAAGAGTACGAAATGTGAACGATGTTTTCAGCGGGTATTTGAGGCACTAAATTCTAAACACTTAGAAATAAGGAAAAGTTGGACTCAATATGATATGTTTTTGTGTCCGTGGATCTGCAAAGGTGTGGTGTGTATTTTTTCGGAAGAATTTTGTTATTCGAGTGACACAGAAAGTATTCCTTTGACTGCGATTGTTGCTTGGAACTATCTTCTTGCTGCTCCTGACAATCGTTTCCGTGCAATCAAAATACCAGCCTTAGAAGATAATCTGTGGCTCTATTCAGATTTTGTAAAACTAATTGTCTTTAAAACATTAGCTCCTAAACAAGCGCAATTATGTCTGTCGCAGGCAACGGTCGTTTATTCGAGTTCGTTTTCTCCTGACGGCTCTCGACTTGCATCCTGCAACTCAGATGGATATATCAACGTATGGAATGTCTATACCAGTCAAGTTGAACAACGTTTCAAAATCAGTCAATGTGGGTCAAGGTTTTTATGCTGGTGGTCGGAAGATTTCTTGTTTGTGATTAGTGAATTTAACGAGATTCCCAAATTAACGCGATACCCGGTAGATGACAATCTAGAGATCGTGTTTACTCACAGTCAGGACGTGGCGCTAGAGAACTTTTCTGAAGACTTGTCTGAATTCAGGCAAGAGGGCTGGTCTGACGGCCTATATTCAAAGCCAAAGGTTGGTTTTTCTGAAGGCTTTGTCAGCTTGGCTCTCGGAGGCTTCAAACCCGCGATAGTTCTCGATGTCAGAGATGTTGATGGTCCTGTAATGCTCAATTTGCCTGGAATTGAGCCTGAGATGGAAATGGAAATCTCGCCTGGTGGTGCCTTTATCTCTGGTTGTAATAAAAATGAATGTTATATTTGGAAAAGAAATACCAAAAAACCAACTTCGTATGAAGTCTTTTATCACCGTGATGCTTTAAGATTCCGCAGTGAATTAGCCGTAAGATTCGGTAATGATTCCGACGTCGCTATAGTCATGGAGAGGAGTATTGATGAGAATCAGATAATTGATCTGAACACTGGTGATTGTCAAAATATAGCGTCTCGATTCAATCCTGTTCATTCGTTCACCAGGTCATTTTGTATTAACATGAGAGAAATTGTATTAGCTTTATTTGATAACCTGATAATATTTTTTGATATGTACTCTGGGGCGATTCTCGACACGTCCTATCATCGATACTTGAAGGCTTTTACGTCAAGCCAAGCAATTAAACTTTCCCCAAAAGAGACCATGCTGGCTTATCCTGACCGTAAAGGCGATATGGTGTTTCTTCGACTGTCTATTCCACAAAATCCTTTGTTGAACGATATTAAGCAACTAGCAGTTGCTAGGTTGGACTATATTAAACAAGGGAACTTCCTTCGTTGAACGATATTGAGCGAGATGCTGTAGTCAATCCTTGTAATCAATGTCTCTCGCGGAAAAACTTTTTAGGAAAATTTGCACAAAGCTGTTTTCTTAAATGTTTGTTTCCCCGCAAATTGTTTATACACATTAAATAAGAATGTCTTTATTCTTAAAAATAACTGAAATGAACCCGTTCACACGAAGACGAAAACCAATAGGAGAAGACTTAGTTGATGAAGACTTTGTTATGAACGACAGGTGTTTTGGAATTGATTTTTCAGTTAGGATATTTCATAATGGATTTAGCGAACAATAACATGAAAAACTATCATCCAGAACATTGTTTTCGGGCAGCGGCTAGACTTTGCTTGGAGCTGGTCTAGAATGGAGAAGTAAGACACCTCCTTCCCTCCGTTTGTCTGGGAGTTCACCTTGGGCAAGTGATAGCACTCCCTTGCCTCCCTAACTAGGGTTACAGTTTGTTGAACAAAACAAAGATGATATCTTGAATACATCTGCAAGAAACAAAAGTCCTAAAGAACTGTGACCAATGCCAGTCGTATGATGGTGTTGTTTAAGATGTTCATTATGGTAGTTACAGTCATGTTGGTGGTGATAGTTCTCATTAATGTTGGTGGTGATAGTTCTCATCTATGGTGGTGATGGTGCTGGTCTTTACGATGTGCTGATAGTAATTGCGCTGGTCATGAAAATAATGGTAGAAATTGTAGTAACTATATTAGCTGTATTTTGTTCCTGGAGTTTGATGCTGATGAAAAAGAAAAATAACGGAACTCAGTGACGTCATGCACTAGAACGATAATTGGGGGGGGAGTTGAATATTCATATATTCAGTTCTGCCCGACGGGTTTCTTTTGAAAGTGCATGCAATAGCTTAGAATAGAAATCCATCGGGTAGAACTGAATATATGAATAAACAATACCGCAATTATCGTTCTAAATTACGCCCCCAATGGAACTGCAAGAACTATGTACATTACAAGGAACGTTCGTTTTTTAGCTGAGAAGGAAGATATTTATAGTCTGAAGCGGAGCTGAAAAATTGTAAAAATTGACTCAAATGTGAGCAATATTATGTTAAAGACATCTGATGTTCATGAAAAAGATCACAAAACAACACAACAATTAATATCTTAGACGTGTTTGAAACGTCGTTTTTTTATCTTTAATATACTCAAGCTTAGATTTTTATTGAACACTATAGGTAGCTTATTGGTAAACAAACTAACATCAAGTGGTAAAATAGGATATTATGGCTTCGAACGTGCCTGGTCCACACAAGAACACATGACAAGAATATTGCTGAATATTTAAATATTTGCCTACTGCCAGCATGTAATTTGTATTGATTTGTAATTTTGTAAACCATTTCATGATTTCACTTTGTTGACTGTTGTTGAAATTCTTATTTCGGTGTTTGTCTTACATCCCTAAAGTTTTATAGTTTGATATCAACTTGGTGGGTAATTATACCAAGTTGCCCGATTGGTTAAATAAATTGGCGACACACCTTCATTAGTGTCCACAAGAAAACAAAAAACTAATGGGATGACTGTATTTGGAAACTTTATTTATGCAACCCCCTGACAAGAACCATATTCATCTGGAGACTGAATCAAAATACGGTCTGAGTAAACTTGATATTTGTTTCTTTTTTTGTGAACGTTTATGAAAATTTCTACACATTGAACACAAAATGATTTTTCTGCCAGCATCGGACCGTAGATCAGTTAACTTTTAAATGTATTTTGTGAGCTAGTTTGAGGCTGGGATGATTATTAAAATGCTGAAGATAAGAGGAGTCTCCTTTTCAGGCAAGATGCATTTTGCGTTCACAAAATACACCCGTGAGATATTCAAAATCGTCCAGGCATCGCGGAGGGAGAAAGAGGGAGAGGAGTGGATAGTTTTATGTTTTGAAAGTTTTCCTCAGTTTTTCTCTTCCGCACCAAATTGCAAGGAATGTTTTAAGACTGCAACAGTGACTCTGACAGATTTGAATTTTCCTATTGTGGTAATTTCTCCCATGCAGGAATTCCAGCAATGTCGAAACAATTGGAAAAAATGTGCTTCTCTTCCAATCACTTTTTTATTGCCTGGCTTCTTAAGGCTGTCCTCAACTGCGTCACACGGTACCGGATCCACTCATCACGACATCTTCGTTTGCCGTTATGAAGCAACGATTATTAGTAAATGCTTATTAATTTCATAGATTTGGTATATTTATTCAGGGCTCAGACATTAAAAACACCGCTGTCTTTCATTCACTTCAAAATTTGACCTGATGGTAATCCGGTACCGTGTGAACGGGGCTTTAGGCGTTTTTCATACGCCTGTACACCCACGTAAACCCACGCCTTAAAATGTTTTATTATTTGTTAAAATTGGCAGAAAATTCTTTCAATTTATTTATATTTTCAAAGATAACATGTATAATGATTTAGACTTCCGTGTGTAACGTGCGTATGAAAAAAAAACGCGTACGTGGAAAGCAGTCTTTAAAATAGTAGAAAAGGTAAATTATAACAAATTTTTCACATTCGGACTTAATTTTCGCCACTATCAAGAGAAGTTAGAACTGCAGGTTTAAAAAAGTGTAATTTTTAAAATTCTTCCCCAAGGCCTCGATCTTAACTGAATTTCTCGACGCTCTCCCCAATATTTTTAAAGGCGGTATTTTTTGAACAATTACCCGCAATTATCAGCAATTTAAAAATAACAAATCATTCAATAATGGGACATAAAAAATGAAAGAGATATCCTTCCAGTTTTGTAACTTCAGTTCGCAGAGCCATATAGCTCAGTGGCCACACCCAAAATCTCACCCAGTTCCTTTTCTCTTTGAGTCTTTGTATTTCTTCAAAGTCTGTGTTCGTTATTTGTCAAAATGATCGTATTCTTGGACTCGAAGCTCCCAAAGTGATCCTGATTCGTCGTGGTTGATCAACGTATTCATTGAGGAAGCTGAAGTTGTTTTAACAAGGTTTATCGTGAGATTTCTCTCATATTGCGATATACGTATGTGTCCTTGTCTATTATGCTTTAAATTACAATATTTTGACCGGGTGGTTTGGTTTATATTGGCGTTTCACGTCAATCGCGTTACAATCATTGCTAACAAGGCAAGCTGATTTCTGGGCCGCCTATGAAGAAACACAGAAACATAGAAACACAGAAATGTGGAAACACAGAAACGTAAAAACATAGAAACATATAGAAACATAGAAACATATAGAAGCATAGAAACACGAAAACACTTAAGATATAGAAAACATTTTCCGTGTTTCTATACAGTTATAGAAACACGCGTGGGAGTTTGGGAGAACGAGCCAGTAGGGCGAGTTTTTCCACGTTATTTCGAGTTCTCCCAAACTCCCACAAGGGTTTCTATAACTGTATAGAAACACAGGAAAAAATGTTTTCTATTTCTTTTATAATATAACTCAATAAAAAGATTTTGTACAAATATTATAATTCGATTCAATTACAAATTCTCATTACATTACTTCGCTTGACAAGTTCGGCGGGAAAATTCCCGTGTTTCTATACAGTTATAGAAACACGCTTCTCGACCAATCAGCACGCGCGTACTATAAATGTTATATTATATAAACAAACATAGAAACACAGAAACATAGAAACACCGAAACACTAGAAACATAGAAACACAGAAATGTAGAAACATAGAAGCATAGAAACATAGAAACATGCACGGAAACGTGGAAACATAGAAACACAGAGACACAGAAACGTAACATAGAAACACAGAAACACAGAAACATAGAAACACAGAAATGTAGAAACATAGAAGCATAGAAACACAGAAACATGCACGGAAACGTGGAAACATAGAAGCATAGAAACATAGAAACACGAAACACAGAAACATAGAAACACAGAAACACAGAAACACAGAAACGTAACATAGAAACATAGAAACACAGAAACATAGATACATAGAAACACAGAAATGTAGAAACATAGAAGCATAGAAACACAGAAACATGCACGGAAACGTGGAAACATAGAAGCATAGAAACACAGAAACATAGAAACACAGAAACATAGAAACACAGAAACACAGAAACACAGAAACATAGAAACACAGAAACATCATAGCCAGAAATGAGCGACTCGTCGATTACGCAACATGAGCGAGTTCCCAATATTTATAGTAAATTGTATTACAAATATCGCCATAAAGTACTATTTTTGAGATGCAAAGATCGAATTCGGTCAAACTAATGCTAATGAACAAAATGAGACTAAAATTTTGCTCTCTAGTTGCCGACAAACCTTGTCCCTAAGAAATTCAAAATTACTCGCGAGATCGTAGTGAATTAGTTCTCTAAAGGCATAAAAAGCCGCAAAATGCCATGCGAAAACACTTCGCTACACGTTATAAACAACAGAAATTCCTACATGCGAAGCTTGTAATGGCAAGATAATGTCCTTGCAGCTTCGAAGATATAAAAATTATAAAATTAAAACCTTACTTTCCCTTGTCGCTGCCAGCTTATTTTAAAGGTAGTTTGAGGGGCTGTTTACATGAGCCCGGTTACCTGAGATTCAACGAAGCATGGTATGATTTTGAGGTATTGAAACGTGCAGATAACATGATCCTGGCAGTCGTATAATCACCACAACAATAGCATGTGCTTGTTAGGTGTCATAAAGACTTATTTCAATACCTCAAAGTCCTCTCACGCTTCGTTGAATCTCGGGTAACCGGGCTCATGTAAACAGCCCCTTAAAGCATCCATGTCTAATAAAGGATTTCGTTTCGCTTGAAATGGCAATAACTTGGTGATATTTTGGTCAATTTCTTCCCCAAAACAATTTTTTTGAAGTTCGTTTCATTCTCATCTTAGATAACATGCTTCTAAGTTCTTTAGCGCATGTCTTCTATCGCCAAATACCGCTGGAACTCAAGCTTTGCTTGATGTTATCACGCGAATTTGCGGGAAATTTGAAATTTTGCGGGAAAAAGTCATTGATCTGGAATAAGCTATTTATACACGATGTATTATGGTTGAAAATTTAAAATTTAACTTAAATATAACTTTCTCTGAAAGGGCTAGCGACGTAAACGACCAAAATAATATAATACCTAAAAAGCCTAATTTTGTCTTGGAGATTCCTCAGCAAATTTTACTTCACTGGCATGACCTTAAAGCGAAAGGTTAAAATATTCAATTTCCCGATTGGTGTCGAATACGCATGTGTGAATTTGAATCCGCTGACATTAAGTGTTGTTGCTTAGGGGCACAGATGTCGCTCATTTCGGCTATGCATAGAAACATAGAAACATAGAAACATAGAAACATAGAAACATAGAAACATAGAAACATAGAAACATAGAAACATAGAAACATAGAAACATAGAAACATAGAAACATAGAAACATAGAAACATAGAAACTTAGAAACATAGAAACATAGAAACATAGAAACATAGAAACATAGAAACATAGAAACATAGAAACATAGAAACATAGAAACATAGAAACATAGAAACAATTTTTCACTTGTTTCCCTGGCGGGAAACATTGCATTTATTTAAAGTCATGTGACTACGAATGAACCAATCACATTTAAAATACACAGCACCTATATAACAATGCACATTGTTGCTTATATATATATATATATATATATATATATATATATATATATATATATATATATATATATATATATATATATCAACATGTCTTCGAGAGAATTATCGAATGAAGAAATCAATCTATTAGAACGAGGTCTCAAATTCACTCCAACGCCGAAACAGAATCGAAGTGAACTAAAAACTGACATTCAGGAATTTACCAGAAGAATGCGTCTACTGGAATTTTTTAACAACCAGCGACCAAATGAAGATACTGACAAATCGTTGGTGAAAAACCCATCAAACTTTGTACCACCAAAGTCAGAAGATAGATACCTCAACATGTTTATTGAAGCAACAGCGAACTACCATAAACACGACACAACGGCGAAGAAAAACAACCTATCCAGAGCCGAACAAGACGCATTGGACAAATTGAAAAACGATGACACAATTATCATTAAGGAGGCTGATAAAGGCGGAGCGACCGTGGTCATGGACAAAACATTTTATCGTGCTAAAATACAAGAAATGCTGGCCGACAACGAACACTACGCAGAACTGACAGACACGAACTATGATGATAAATCATCAAAAAAATTGGAACACACTTGAAAAAATTCGACAAGGAAACAACAAGGAAAGAGAAAATTACTTGCAGAATTTCGCCTGGAAAACCTCCAACTTCTATGGACTACCAAAAATCCACAAATCACAAGCCGTAAAAGAAGCCATAGAACAACAAAACTCCACGTACATCAAGATACAAGCGCCACCAGATCTGAAACTTCGCCCGATTGTTGCTGGTCCATCGTCACCCACACATCGATTGAGCAATTTGATAGACATAATTTTGAAGCCCCTGTGTCAACATGTACCAAGTTTCATCCGCGATGACCTCGATTTTTTAAGCCACCTCCCAGAAACAGTCAATGATAACGCACTCCTTGTATCATTTGACGTTGTCAACCTATATACGAGTATTCCGCATGAACTCGGCCTTACAGCTATCGAATACTGGATTGACAACTTTGGAAATTCTCTCAACCGATCGTTTTCTAAAGAATTCATCATGGAATCGATTACAATTGTCCTGAAAGAAAACACTTTCCACTTCGACAATAAATTATATCAACAAATTCAGGGAACAGCGATGGGGACGAAAATGGCCCCAACTTATGCGACCCTCGTACTTGGATACCTGGAAGAGAAACTGTACTCAGAATTCGAAACGCGATTTGGTAAAGAACAAAAGGAGGAATTTGTACGCGCTTTCAAGAGATATTTAGACGATTGTTTCACAATCTGGAACAAATCAGAGGAAGATCTGAGGAAACTACTTGCTATGTTAAACAGTCTCCACGAAAGCATCAATTTCACGGTAGAATTTGACAACGCCAAGCTCCCATTTCTAGATGTGTTAGTGTACAAGCAAGATGACAAGTTGAATACGGACATCTTCTACAAGGCAACTGACACAAACCAATATCTCAACTTTAACTCGTGTCATCCCAAACACACGAAAACCAACATCCCTTACAGCCTGGCTCGCCGCATATGTTGCATTGTGTCAGACCCACACATCAAAACAAAACGACTCCGCGAACTCGAAAAATTCCTGTTACAACAAAACTACCCTAAGAACCTCATCACAAAGGGAATAGAGAAAGCAACCTCTCTACCAATGGCCGAACTTAGAACACCAAAAAACAGAGATGACAACGCAAAGATCCTTCCGCTGGTTTTGACACATAATCCCAACAACCCACAAGTAATCAATAAGATAAAACAGGACATGCAATTCCTAGAGAACTCCGAGAACATGAAAACAATTCTGGAAAGTACGAAGTTTATTGTCAGCCGCCGCAAGCCAAAAAACTTGAAGAAACAACTAACACAAGCCCGGTTCGTTTCCGAGAGAACTGCCAGCAGTGTGACAAAATGCGGAGAAACAAGATGCGGTACCTGTGCAATCATAGTGACCGGAATTGATATCAAACTGAAGAACGGCAAAGCGTGGAATATAAAATGTCAGATGAATTGTAAATCGCGGAACGTTATATACGTTCTACTCTGCACAAAATGCAAAAGTTTTTATGTCGGCCAAACTGAAAATCTCCGTCACAGAGTTACGCTACACAGACAGCAAATAAACCATAAAGAATATTGCCACTTAGCAGTAAGTGAGCACATCAGAAAATGTAGCAATGGCAACTTCCAGATTATGCCGATTTATCAATGTGACAGTCATTCAGACCGCTTAGTCAGGGAGTCGAAGGAAAGAGACATTATAACTATACTTCAGCCGGATTTAAATTCATGTCAATAATAATACCATGCAGTTTATGTAAGATTTTGTTATATGTTTTCATATCTTTGTTTGTGTGAAATATTTATGTAAATAATTACCATTAAGTAATCCAACACCACACGTGTAGTGACGTAGTGGCAAACCAGTGAAATATGTAAATATAGGATATCACAACTCATTTCTTACAAAGTATTCAGCACCTGAGGAGCTTTCAATAAAGCGAAAACGTTTGTGCAAAATGATTAGATTTAGTGTTGTTTGATATCCTTTGTCTGATCTTCATTGCTTCCGAGACAAACTTTTTTTTATATATATATATAAATATATATATATATATAATATATATATATATATATATATTTATATATATATATATATATATATATATATATATATATATATATATATATATATATATATATATATATTTATTTATTGAAAGACTAGCTTTATTTTCTTTCAATAAATAAATATATTTTCGCTCTGCCAGTAATGGTATTGAGCGCTCTTCAACCATTGTCAAGTTCTGTGAACTCTTTGTTACAGTCAATTCTTTGGATATATATATATATATATATATATATATATATATTAATATATATATATTTATATTTATATTTAATCTTAAAATATTTTCATCGCTACACTGTGTTTCACGCTTAAAAGCGATCTTCAGGCGAATGGATACTATGATTTTATAACTAACGGTTTGCTGACGCGTTGAGATGACTTGCGCGTGCGTTTGCGATTTTGAATTTTTGCGCGCTGAATTTATTGCGGTGTCTACACTTCGCAAACAATTCCGATCGTTTATTCAACGCTCTGTCTTTGCTCAATTCAAGGATATGAAGTTTCTCCTCCAAACACAGATTACATCTTTTTCCACCAGCTCTACACGCCGGGACTTGCTTTAAAAGGGACCACTTGATAGAGAATTGTCTCTCGCTTTCTTTCAATATCCAAACATATTTCGAAAGTTCCGTTTCTGTCGAGTAGCGCGCGTTGTTGAATGACTTTTTGTGGTTAGAGAAACGGTTCTTGAAGCTTCCTGCTGTCATTCCAACATATTCTTTCGTATCGCCGTCGTCGGTTGACGTAATTTCAGCTTTGTAAACCACGCTCTCTGACATAAGCATTTTCCTGATAATGGACATTCTTCTTTGACGCGACAGTTGCAGTTTCTTTCGCTGGATAACAAGCTAATGAAAGAAAATGTAACAAAATCCTACAAAATAGGAAAGGATAGTTTAACTGAAGAGATCAACGCCGAACTAAAAAACATAACAAGCAAGGCTTCAATTGCAGATCGTGTGGACACAATGGCCAAAAAGAACGCATTCATCACTTTGAAAGACCACAAAGATAACTTTGAATCACATCCTAAGTGTCGCCTCATTAATCCTTCCAAAAGCGAACTCGGAAAAGTAAGCAAAATAGTACTCGACAACATCAACGACAAAATGAGATCTATCCTAAACGTCAACCAATGGAAGAATACACAATCTGTCATTGACTGGTTCCATTCCATCAACAACAAACCCAATCATACATTTCTCTCCTTCGACATTGTCGAGTTTTATCCCTCAATCACTGAAGATCTATTCGATAGGGTCATTTCATGGGCAAAATCTTTAACAGAAATCTCTGATGACCACATTTCAATTATCAAGCACTCGAGGAAATCGCTACTTTTCTACGACGACAAAACGTGGGTAAAACGAAACAACAACTCACTATTCGATGTAACAATGGGCAGCTTTGATGGCGCAGAAATATGTGAAATTGTCGGACTGTATGTGCTAAATAAGCTTTCTAAAAGATTTGGCAAAGATAACATCGGATTATATCGAGACGACGGTTTACTGCTGTTAGAAGGCACCGCAGGAAGATCAGCAGATCTGGCAAGGAAAATGCTACACAGCATTTTCAATGACTTGGATTTAAAAATCACAGCTGAAGTAAACAACCACATCGTCAACTTCCTCGATGTCACCTTCAATTTGCAAGAAGAGAGCTATCACCCATACAGAAAGCCAAACAACGACCCTCTTTACATTGACAGCCGCTCCAACCATCCTCCCTCCATCATTAAACAACTTCCGAAATCAGTAAACAAACGAATATCAAGTTTATCATCCGATGAGTCAAGCTTCAACTCAGCCGCGCAATTCTACGAGAATGCTCTCAACTGCAGTTATTATAAAGCCAAACTACATTACACAATCAATAACGCCAAACCCGACCGTTCATCTACCAATAACCGTAAGAGAAAGATCATCTGGTTCAATCCCCCCTTCAGCAAGAACGTGAAGACGAACGTGGCCCACAATTTCTGCATTGATTGACAAGCACTTTCCTAAGACGTCGCGTCTCCACAAAATCTTTAATCGTAATACGGTAAAGGTCAGCTACTCCTGCATGAACAACGTAAAAACCTCAATCTCAAACCACAACCACCGTGTGTTACAAAGACGAAACGATCCATCCAGCGAAAGAAACTGCAACTGTCGCGTCAAAGAAGAATGTCCATTATCAGGAAAATGCTTGTCAGAGAGCGTGGTTTACAAAGCTGAAATTACGTCAACCGACGACGGCGATACGAAAGAATATGTTGGAATGACAGCAGGAAGCTTCAAGAACCGTTTCTCTAACCACAAAAAGTCATTCAACAACGCGCGCTACTCGACAGAAACGGAACTTTCGAAATATGTTTGGATATTGAAAGAAAGCGAGAGACAATTCTCTATCAAGTGGTCCCTTTTAAAGCAAGTCCCGGCGTGTAGAGCTGGTGGAAAAAGATGTAATCTGTGTTTGGAGGAGAAACTTCATATCCTTGAATTGAGCAAAGACAGAGCGTTGAATAAACGATCGGAATTGTTTGCGAAGTGTAGACACCGCAATAAATTCAGCGCGCAAAAATTCAAAATCGCAAACGCACGCGCAAGTCATCTCAACGCGTCAGCAAACCGTTAGTTATAAAATCATAGTATCCATTCGCCTGAAGATCGCTTTTAAGCGTGAAACACAGTGTAGCGATGAAAATATTTTAAGATTAAATATAAATATAAATATATTGCTCTATCACACCTCGATATTGAGCACTCTTTGTTCAAGTACGGACAACGAAATATTATATTGGATATAATATCATCATCATCTATATATATATATATATATATATAATATATATATATATATATATATATATATATATATATATATATATATATATATATAATATATATATATATATATATATATATATATATATAATATATATATATATATAATATATATATATATA